TCATAAGATGATAAGAGGACATTCAATCAACTTGTTTCACATTTTTTATGTACCTCAAAAATTCAAGGTCATGAGTCTGATTGTAGAGACAATCTAGAGGATAGCTGCTGACCAGAAAAGGTCTTGTGGGTATGCTCCACATATTCAGGTGCTCATCAACTCAAAGATGGGCACATGCACTTACTTGTTGGACAAGGAGCATTTACCTCTCTACCCATAATTTGAAGACAACACAGTTGTAATGGATGAGAATGAACCTTCATCAGTGCAAGCACAAGAGAAGGGAGCTAAGACAAAGGTAGAAAAAGCTGCAAAGATGCCAAGTGCTGAAGAGGCATCTCAAGTGTTCTTGAAGAGCAAACAAGATCAACTAGCCTATCTGATTCAAGCTACATTAAGGATTGAGAAGGGCTTGGCCACCCTGACTCAGAATCAGAAGAGCTTGAAGAGGATCATAGAGACCAAGTTTTATGATCTTGATTTGAAAGTCACTGAGATACAGACTGCAGTTGAGCAGCTCCAGGAGGAAGCAGAGGACAAGAAAGGGAAGCAACTACAAATGCTTTTTTTGCGACTGCCATAAGGTTAGAGGTCAGCTGCAGTGCCTGTACCAGATACTAGAGCTACCACATCAGCACCAGTAGCTACAGCTTTAGTGCCACCTCCAGCATCCACCCCACCAGCTCCAGCTACATCGATTGATGCCTTCGTCCTTGGAGTTCTCTCTACACCACCTCCCGAAGACCAAGCCTGAGAGACACATAGCACTATGCATATTTTTAACTTTTTGGTAACTTGTTGCCAAAGGGAGAAATATGTATAGATCATACACTTCGAGAGAGAGTGTTGCTTTTTTGTCTCTCCTGCTATTTGTTCGGTTGAACTTTATTGTGTGCTTGTGTGAGATACTTGTATGATCATGTGTTTGATCATATGCTACTTTAATGTTTGCTTGGATGGTATTATCTCTTATATCCATATATGATCATTCACTTTGCTTGGTGATGAGTGCATGCTTTTAATTGCTATCATTTTGAGCGCTCCACCAAGATGTATGTGACATGTAAGAGTAACCCATGATAGTAATCGATTGTGCATTTGCATTCAAAAGAAAATCTTAAATAATGCACAAATTTACGGGGAGCTCTTGCTTATCACATACTTCTCAAAGCGACGATGTATTTCAATCTTATTATCTTTTGTCGAACCTTTGATCTATATGTTGTCATCAATTACCAAAATGGGGGAGATTGAAAGTGCAACTATCCCTGGGTGGTTTTGGTAATTATTAACAACATATAGCTCATTGAACTAATGCTATTTCAAGATGAATATTTCAAGAAAGTTCAATGATTGGCATGGCATGGATTACGAATGTGGACCCCTCAAAATGCTAAGGACAAAGGATTGGCTCAAGCTCTAAAGCTCAAGACTCTACATTTTACTTTTAGTGATCCAAGATCACATTGGGTCCATAGGAAAAGCCAATACTATTAAAAGGGGATGAGGTGTTGCTTAATGGTTTGCTTGCTCAAAATGCTTAGTGATATGCTCCAAAACCCTCAACCACTTTCTCATATCCACATATGTCCCAAACTAAAAGTCAAACTCGGCCCCACCGATTTGATCTATCCGGCGCCATCGAGTTCATTTGACATAGCCATTGCCAGAAACCCTAGCCACTTCGGTCTCACCGATAGGGATCTTGGTCTCACCGAGATGGGATTGCAAACTCTCTGTTTCCCTTTGCAATGTTTCGGTCTAACCGAGATGAGCGATCGGTCCCACCGAGTTTGCAATGCAAACTCTTTGTTTCCCCTTTGTTTCGGTCCCACCGAGTTTGCCTGACCAACTCTCTGGTTAGCTTATTACCAAAGTTGGTCTCACCGAGATTATGTTATGCCCTAACCCTAAAGAAATCAGTCCCACCGAGTTGACATGTTGGTCCCACCGAAATGCCTAACGGTCACATTATGAACTAAATCGGTCTGATCGAGTTTGGTAAATTGTGTGTAACGGCTAGATTTTGTGTAGAGGCTATATATACCCCTCCACCCTTTCTTCATTCGTGGAGAAAGCCATCAGAACGTGCCTACACTTCTAGCATTCATTTTCTGAGAGAGAACCACCTACTCATGTGTCGAGGTCAAGATATTCCATTCCAACCATATAAATCTTGATCTCTAGCCTTCCCGAAGTTGCTTTCCACTCAAATCATCTTTCCACCAACTCCAATCCTATGAGAGAGAGTTGAGTGTTGGGGAGACTATCATTTGAAGCACAAGAGCAAGGAGTTCATCAACAACACACCATCTATTACCTTTTGGAGAGTGGTGTCTCCTAGATTGGTTAGGTGTCACTTGGAGCCTCCGTTAAGATTGTGGAGTTGAACCAAGGAGTTTGTACGAGCAAGGAGATCGCCTACTTCGTGAAGATCTACCCTAGTGAGGCAAGTCCTTCATGGGCGATGGCCATGGTGGGATAGACAAGGTTGCTTCTTCGTGGACCCTTCATGGGTGGAGCCCTCCGTGGACTTGCGCAACTGTTACCCTTCATGGGTTGAAGTCTCCATCAACGTGGATGTACGATAGCACCACCTATCGGAACCACGCCAAAAATCTCCGTGTCTACATTGCGTTTGCTCCCTCCAAACTCCCCCCTTTACCTTCATGTGCAATGTTTTATATTCTGCTGCTATACTCTTAGAATTGCATGTGTAGGTTGATTGCTTGACTTGTGTAAAGTTGCTAAAATCTGCCAAGACTTAAAATTGGGAAAAGCTAGATTTTTATTTGGTTAAGTAGTCTAATCACCCCCCTCTAGACATACTTTCAATCCTACAGTTACCTCTTTCCTCTTCGGCCCCCCTTTGATTTGAAATGGCTTCTACCTCAAGCGGAGACTTTGTGCATGACTAGGTATCAAGGAGAAGATCATGAAGAAGGGATCTCCAAGTACACATGGAGCCCTTAAGAAGAAGGAGGAGAAGGAAGAGCTGCAAGACACGAAGCACCGTAGGCTCGCTGGACACCCCAGGTTCCCGCACCTTCCACCCCCGGGTGCCAGCCCCCCTACAGCCGCGGCCTGGGCGAGGCCCCTTACCGGTCCGAGTGCCCGGGCTTTCACCTCCCGGGTACCCGACCTCACCTGGCCCGAGGGCGCGACCCCCTGACCGGTCCGGGTGCCCGGCCCATCCACCACTGGGTGCCCGGCCCTCCCTAGCGCCTCTCCCTCCGGGTGCCCGGGCCACTTTACCCTGGGTGCCCAGACTCCTCCGAATATGCCTGCGTGCACTTTGGGAAAATTAACCCTTGTACCCTCATTTCCTCTTATTTCTTCCCTAGCCTATAAGTACTCCTCATCTAGCTCATTACTAGGGTTAGCAAAGCATTAGATAGACAAAGAGAGAGCTTTGCCCATCTTCCTCTTCTTGGATATCTAGACCTCCTCTTGGAGAAGCTTCTCTTGGAGAAGATCCTCTTGTGGATATCAAGGCCTCCTCTTGGAGAAGGATCCCCATCATAGGATCATCAAGACCTCATCTCCCTTGAGGATTTGGGAAGAACTTTTGTGCTTCTTTCCTTAGATTGATCTTGTATACTTGTGGATCTCATGTATGCTATCCTAGTGGATGTGTGATTTGGGTTTGTTTGAGTGATTTCCCCCTTGTGTTCTTGTGTGCTCATCCCTCCCCCCCCCAAGTGTGAAAATATCCCTCCTAGGGTTTCACCCTACAACATTAGGCCTTGTAATGCGTGTAAGCGCTAGCTCATGTAATCATCATCTAGTTTCGTTTTCGTTGGCTAGGAATGATTTGGCTTCGGATGGAATGGTTTGAACTCGTTGTGAGGGTGGATCAGAGGAAATCACACAACAACATTGTACTTCGTTGTTTTGAGAGTTCGCCTAGCCCTAGCTTAACCAAGAGAGTAAGGGGACGCTCGCAATTTGGTATAAGAGACATTGACCCTTGAGCTTCTGTGCCATCCGCATAGTACACGTTTCAAGGTGCAGTGGCAGGCGCAAGTGATGGAGGAGCTCAACTCATGCCGGAAGCGAAGCTGATCTACAACCTCCTCAAGGGTGGTCTTGCGGAGGATGTCGACAAGCGTCTTCAAGATTACCGGGATGGAGTCATCCAGGCCGTCGGCAAGCTGCTAGAGGAAAATACCACTCGCCCCTCTTCGCCACTCGCATGGGCGAGGTACATGATAGGGGAAACATAGGTGCTCCCATCCATGGGGTGCTCCCCATAGTCCAACTTAAAAATATCAAGGTGCTCCCATCCTTGGGGTGCTCCTCATGCTCCAACTTCAAAACATCAATTTTAAATGTTTTAAAAAATTCATAAAAAATGTGATGCTCACAAGGAATGTGACTACAACCCCTAAAATTTACAGACCCAAATTTGAAATGTACATTGAGAAACAAAAAAAAAATGACAGATTCAGATATGAATAGTGTCAAATGTTGCCTTTGCCTTTTTATGACACTATTTATGCTAGATTTCACATTTTCGTTGCTCAATTTTCATTTAGAGTTTGGATCTAAAAATTTTAGGACTTGTAGTTACCTTTCTCGTGAACATTCATAATTTTTTTTCAGAATTTTTGAGGCATTTAAAATTGATGTTTTGAAGTTGGAGCATGGGGAGATGGGAGCGCGTGATATTTTTCCGTACGTGATAAACTGAGTGGTGTCTCTATTTTTTTAGAAGTTGCCAGCGACCGTGCAATGGAACCAGCGGCAACAGGAAAGAAAAAGGAAAGCTGGTAATAGAGGCCCAATGGTCAGTGGCCGTAACTCGAAATGTTCCCGATCCCATCGCCGATAAGAATACCCGTACCGAGGACGTGACCCCCACGGCCACCACCTGCAAAGCAACCACCCGCCCGCCGACGATTCGATCCCCCTACCCGGTTCACCCCAACCGCTCCGCCGCCGTCGCCGCCGGAGAGTGGGAGGAAGGGCCGGAGGGGGAGGGGCTGCCCGTCGACGAGATGAAGGAGGTGGTGCTCCACGTGTACGACGTGACCAACAGCGACTCCGAAAAGACCAACAACACCATCCTCCAGATCAACCGCATCTTCAAGGACCGCATCGGCCTCGGCGGCATCTTCCACAGCGCCGTCCAGGTCCTCCCCCCTGCGCCCCCGCTCGCCCGGATCCCGGCGACGTATTCTGCCTGCTTGCCCCTTCTTCCTCCAGATCCCCAATTCTCATTTCCCGATGTGTCGCGTGCAGGTCTATGGCGAGGAGGAGTGGTCGTTCGGGTTCTGCGAGAACGGCAGCGGGGTGTTCAGCTGCCCCGTGAGCAAGAACCCCATGTACACATACCGCGAGCGCATCGTCCTCGGGGAGACGGAGTGCACCATAGCCACCGTGAACAGGATCCTGCGCGAGCTCAGCCGCGACTGGCCAGGGCACTCCTACGACCTCCTCTCCAGGAACTGCAACCACTTCTGCGACGTGCTCTGCGACAGGCTCGGCGTCCCCAAGCTTCCAGGTAAAGAATCGGAGGAGTTTTATCTTTTTGTTGCGAAATCGAGGAAATTAGGAGCTTTGTTCTTCTGATTAGCCACTGGAGTGGTAGTAGTCAGTACCGATAGGTGGATTACAAATGTATATCTGGCCCTGAAAGGACACCAAATCTCTGGTGGTAAAAGTAATTCACAACTTTATCGATGCCGTCAAATCGATAGGAGGATTCCAGTTTAGCTAATGAGGTTGGTTTGACTAGGAAAATAAAATGAAATTGAATTGGATGATGTGGTGACGCTGAGCCTTTCGCGGATAGTTTGGGGATAGTTTTCAGCTAGCAGATAGTCAGAATGTCTGTTTATGCATTTCACCTTGTATCTTTCAACTACGTTGCTGGTTAATCGCAACCGTTAAACGGGAACCAGTAGCAAAAAGGAAGAAAAATTAAAGCTGGTAGCAGGGGCCCAATAGTCAGTGATCGTAACTCGAAATGTTTCTGTTCCCATCACCATATTGTTTAGCTAATTGCTGTGGTAGAAGCCAAGGGCATAGAGTTTCGTATATTGCTACTCAGCTGATCGGTGATGTTGAAGTGTTCAACTTCAGCTTCAGGAGTGGAGTGGACTTGTTTGAGAGCTGATGATCGGTTGTGCAGATTAAGCGGAAGGGATTGTGTTATCTCGAAGGTGTTAAATGTCTTGGGAGGAGAGTGGATGTGGCTGGAAAGAGTGGTGCGGGGTATAAGGACTATTTAGCTAATATTGCTTTCACTTGAAGTTGTCAATTGTCTTACAAGTAGAGGAGATTCACCTCAACATGATAGGACTGGTGCCCATGGCCTTTTAAGACCATGAGGAGCTATCTATCTTCCGCTGGAACTCTATATTAGCTTGTACAACGTGCAAGGCTCAGTTTACGTTGCTGAACTGTGCTGCCTGAAACTTGTTTTGCGATCTGATTTGGAATAGTAAGAAAAACAGGGAAAAAACTAGTTAACCAAATACTACCTCCGTCCCATATTAATTGACGCTCAAACGGATGTATCTAGACATATTTCAGTGCTAGATACATCTGTTTGAGCGTCAATTAATTTGGGACGGAGGGAGTAATAAATAGTCAAAAACTTGTTGGGCAAATGGGGTTATCGTAATCCACTGCTACGCCATGTGTGATCTAAGTGTCTAGGTTTTATGAATTCTGGAGCCTGGGAGCCTTGAGTTTTTCACCATTTAGGTTTAGTAGCAGTCTAGCAGCCCATTTCTGTGTACTAGGGCCACGTGAAGTCAATTATGCTATGTTCGATTGGTTTTAGTGTGCTCGACTGGGAACTATTTTTTTTTGGTTAGTACTATTATAGTATGGAAATTGGGATTTCGGAAGATAAACTGATGTTCCCTCACACCTGAAGCTTTGCTATAAGATGATTAACGTATAAAAAGTCCTTAGGATAAGATTATTAATGTGTGAAAAGTGAAAACTACATAGATATTGCATGAATATTAAGCTATATGCCACTAGACGCCTTGAGTGATGGAGAAATCATTCTTTCCCGATTGTTATCCATCTTGCTAGCATGTAGTATTCCCATTCAGATTTGAAATGACTTAACAATTGATTTATTTTTTATTTGACTGACCTGGTATATTGAACCTTGCAGGCTGGGTTAATCGTTTTGCCAATGCTGGCGATACTGCTGTGGTGGTAGCTGAGAATACAGCAGTTAAGGTGTGTATTTAATCTGTTCGTATGTGCGCCAGTCCTTTTGTCTTCTGATAGCACAACTGTTGTATTCGTCGACTACTTCCATGATTATTTGCCGTGTTACACTATCCTAACTGTTATGAGTTTAGTTCGTTCTGCGTTGCATAGATATTTCATAACAGTATCTCAGCAGTACATCATTGTTACAATCTGCAAGTTAAGGGGCATATCGACGGAGATACCAGATTTAGGCCCTGCCCTCATTTTCAAATATGGTACTTCGAAGCAATTTATTTTTGTCATAGATGTGACAAATTGTCATCGCAATTGGTTCATACCAGCCAATATCTTGGCATATAAGCAATTATGGTTTTCTTAGTCCTTGACCTCATCATTAAATCAAGGATCATTGTATTACCTCCTACCTTTTTTTGTGACTGCATGGCATGCAAAATTAGGGTTGGTTTAGTGATAGTGACTATGCAACGCAGAACGCACTGCATGTGGTCGAGTGTTAGTGCCGGCAAGTCCCGAATGTCTGAACCATGCAGCCACCATATGAATGCACAGAATTTGCGGCCATGCTGCATAATCGTTTGTTTGACTTTGTACCTGTTCTTTTCTCATATTAATGTGATGGTACAAGTAGATGTTAAAACTTAAGAAAAATGCATACTACAAGCAAGTGAAAATCAGTTTTTACCTAATCAGTTAAGTTTTTGCCAAAAAAAATAATTAGTTTGGCCTTTGCATGCTTTCTTTTTTAGTCTCGGTTCATGCCATGTCCATCTTGGATACTTGACTAATTTGAATGTACATTTATTTGCTTTTTAATATTATAATTGTGTTCTTCAATTGAACACAGCTAGCTTTAAAAGTAATGTTGCAATTATCTGTTCTATTTGGTTGTCTCGCTCTTTGCTTCCCTGATTTTTCGTACGTTTTTTGTTCATATTTTTTTCATCAAGATGCTATATGCTCGTTAAATACCCTATGCATTTATTAGTTTTTGTATTTCATGCCTTTGGATTGAAGCTTTGAAATAACGTTTACGTGTACTGTTATGGGTTCATTGTTATTCACTTATTCCATACTTTTCCCATTATCTTGCTTATACATATTGTATTGATTATTCTCCTTGACATGATTTTTCTTGTTGCGACTTTATGTTTTGCAGTTCAGGCAGGCTAAAACAGAAATTGTCAATGCTAGTAGAGTAGCATATAGATTTATGGCAGGCCTGACTTCGAAAAACCAGGCTTCCCAAGAGTCTCCGGGTGAACAAAATAGAGACAGCCCTACTTTCCAAGGAACATGGTTCAAGAATGTTGTTTCAGCTGGGGCGAAGCCATCTACAAGCGGGTCAACTCCCTCGCAAGAAGCTGATGATGCACGCCCCTTGCAGCACCAACAATCGGCAGAGCAACCAACAAGGTTGTAGCCGCTGTCACAGCAGGCCTACCGACCGTTGTATTGAAATCTGTAGTGTAACAGTAGCAAACATTTGTTCAAACTTGTTTATTCATACATGACTCTGTGTCTCTGCATTGCAACTGAAAGCATCAAATGTGAAACATACTCTTCTAGCTTGACAAGCTCACTAACCAGGCTGATAACTTCCCGAAGGTGCCCAAGAAAACACTTGCCTTCCATTTAACTAGATGCACTACTCACTAGTGACCATAGCTAAGGGAGTATGGTGGCGCCGACGTTTTGGTAGTTTAAATTAAACTGGCAAAACGTCCTATATTAGTGAACAGAGGGTGTAATTCTCACAGGTATTAAGGTCTTCTTGGATGTGGCTTTTAAATGCTTCAAGATCCTTGGAAGGCAGTCTTGTACAATTACTGGCATTTTTTCTTCCGAGGAAACACAAAGGACCTTTGCGTTTCTTTGCATTGAAAAGGAGCAAGTTCAGTTACAACCGTCGAGGACGCGCGGGATAATTACTGGCATTGGTTTGTTTGTACTCCCTCCATTCCTAAATGCAAGTCTTTGTAGAGGTTCCACTATAAACTGCATACGGATATATATAGATGCATTTTAAATTTAGATTCATTCATTTTGCTCCGTATATAGTCCATCTAGTGAAATTTCTACAAAGACTTATATTTAGAAACGGAGGGAGTAGATATACAGGCGGGTACACAGATTCAGATCCAAGCATCAACAGCAGATCAAGCGCTTGCGCTACTTCTTCCGGCCAAAATCACTGTTTTGACCTTTTTTTTTCTCCAAAATCACAATTAATCCCCTTTAAGAAAAACTGATTTAAACCTTTTTTGATGATGTCATTCACCATGACATTTGGGTTGCATGGGAGGCGTCATGGTCCATGGCATTTACCTCCGCAGGACATGGCGTCTCTGGTGTGAGACGAATGGCCACATGTCTCTTTCCTCCCTGATTGTTGCCTCTCGCTGAGGCAGCTGCGGGTAGAAAAGTGGATACAGATAAAGTCCATTGAACCATCAGGCACTCATTAGCTGATTATTTCTCCATCTCCAACGAGCTGCAGTCTCCCATCCTTTTTTTCTGAAACAAGGCAAAAGACTTCTATTTTCATTGATTAAGAAGAAGGTTTAGACATAAGCCGTGAGACGGCAAAAAGAAAAATGTCTACTCTCACTACATAACAGTACTAAACTGTTTGGCTCCCGCCAAAGACCAGAGATGGGGCTCCTCTTTGATTTTTGCGATAACAATGAAGGTCGGGGCAGAGACTTTAAAAAAATTCTTGCGTTGCGCTCCTTCCAAATTTCCCACGAGACAAGCATCATCAAGGAGGCGATGGCCTTCCTGCAGCCACTTCCACCATTAACCACCTTGAGCCACCAATCTCTAACTGAGTCTTTATGACGCCAATTCATTGGCGAGGAGTCAAGGATGCCAAGCCAAGTGCAAATTTCGATCCAAATCCGGACAGTGAACCTACATTGGAATAGAAGGTGAGCAGTAAATTCTTGCACTTGCTTGCAAAGAGGGCACAAATTGCAGCTTGGCCAGCCTCGCCGCAGTAAACGATCGGCTGTCCAAACACGATTTTGGAAGATCAACCAAGCAAAAAATTTGCACTTTGGTGGAGCCCACATCTTCCAGATTGTAGCATTCATTGGACAAAAGGAGAGACGGGCAAATTGCGCATGTAAGCCGAGGAGGCGGAGTACTCGCCACTGTTTGTGAACTTCCAAGTTATGGTGTCTTGGCTTCCCTGGTTGAGGGTTACATCAGCAAGCATCCCCCACAGGGTTGCAAATTCCTGAATACGGGCCAAGGTTAGCCCCTGCTGAGTGTAAATGCGGCGGATCCAAAGGCTATTGTCAAGAGCTTTCCTGACCAGGCATGTTTTCTTTTTTGATAACTCAAAAAATCTTTGGTGCAATGTCTTTAGGCCGGAGGCCGTCCAGCCATGGAGATTCCCAGAACTTAGCCTTGTTTCCATCTCTGATGCACACCCGTGTGGCAGCGGCGAAGAGATATTTGTCATTGCTAATACAAGGCGTTCCTGAGCCAGACCAAGTCTTAGGTGGATCATCCCATTTGTGCCAGAGCCAATGCAAGTGTAGCGCAGTTGCAAACTTCTGGAGGTTGAGCACTCCTAGTCCACCATAAATCTTGGGCTTGCAGACGAGGTCCCAATTAACCTTGCACTTTCCGCCGGTCACCTTATCACAACCCACCCAAAGGTAGGCACGCCGGAGGCTATCTATCTTCTTCATCACTTCAACCGGAAGTTCAAGGGGCGTTAGGTGGTAAATGGCAATGACAATGAGCACGACCTTGACCAAAATAATGCGCCCCAACGTAGCCACATGCATAGCCGACCAAGGTGGAAGCTTTCCAACCACCTTGTCCTCCAAATACTGAAAGTGGATGCGCTTTAGTCTTGTGACCGACAACGGAAGACCAAGATGTCGCATGGGGAAGGTAGTCCGGACCGCCAGGAAGGCCCCCAAAATGTCGTCAAGGTCGATGTTGCCGCAACAAATGTGCGCCACAAGGCTTTTGGTGCAGTTGATGACCAAGCCGGTAACCTCCCCAAAGGAGCTCAGAGTCGAAGCCAAGAAGTGGATGTCTTCCTTGATCGGTGCAACAAAAATAGCAGCATCGTCCGCATACAAGGATGCACAGATGGGCCGACCACGAAGAGTGTTGGGGAACGTGGTAATTTCAAAAAAATTCCTACGTACACGCAAGATCATGGTGATGCATAGCAACGAGAGGGGTAGTGTATCTTCATACCCTTGAATATCGCTAAGCGGAAGCGTTTATCAACGCGGTTGATGTAGTCGTACGTCTTCATGATCCGACCGATCCAAGTACCGAACGCACGTCACCTCCGAGTTCTGCACATGTTCAGCTCGATGACGTCCTCGCCTTCTTGATCCAGCAAGACATGCGAAGTAGTAGATTAGTTCCGGCAGCACGACGACGTGGTGACAGTGTTGGTGAAGAACAATCTCCGCAGGGCTTCGCCTAAGCACTATGGAAACTATGACGGAGGATAAACTAGAGGGGACGGGGTTGCCGGCACACGACTTGGTGTTTCTTGATGTCTCTTTGGTGCTAGCCCTGCCCCTCTATTTATATGTTGAGCCTTGGGGTCGAAACTTGGAGTAAAAGCCTCCACAAAGTCGGTTTCACCCGAAAGGCAAGAGTCCTTCTCGGACTCCAGGGCCAGACGCCAGGGTTCCCGGCATCTGGACCCAGATGCCAGGGACCCTGGTGTCTGGCCCCTGGACTCCACAAAACTTTCTTTTGCGCTTTCCAAAAACCTCATGGGCTTTCCCCTTTGGCCCAAATAAAGTGTTCTCGTACCCAAACATTTCGGGAAACATCCGGAACCCCTTTCGGTGAATTCCGGAACCCTTCCGGAGACCAAACACTATTATCCCATATATAAATCTTTATCTATGGACCATTCCGGAGTTCCTCGTCATGTCCGTGATCATATCCGGGACTCCGAACAACATTCAGTCACCAACATACATAACTCATATAATATTATATCGTCAATGAACGTTAAGCGTGCGGACCCTACGGGTTCGAGAACTATGTAGACATGACCGAGACATCTCTTTGGTCAATAACCAATAGCGGAACCTGGATGCCCATATTGGCTCCTACATATTCTACGAAGATCTTTATCGGTCGAACCGCATAACAACATACATTGTTCCCTTTGTCACCGGTATGTTACTTGCCCGAGATTCGATCGTAGGTATCTCAATACCTAGTTCAATCTCATTACTGGCAAGTCTCTTTACTCATTCTGTAATGCATCATCCCGCAACTAACTTATTAGCTACATTGCTTGCAAGGTTTATAGTGATGTGCATTACCGAGAGGGCCCAGAGATACCTCTCCGACAATCGGAGTGACAAATCCTAATCTCAAAATACGCCAACTCAACAAGTACCTTCGGAGACACCTGTAGAGCACCTTTATAATCACCCAGTTACGATCTGACGTTTGGTAGCACACAAAGTGTTCCTCCGGTAAACGGGGGTTGCATAATCTCATAGTCATAGGAACATGTATAAGTCATGAAGAAAGCAATAGCAATATACTAAACGATCAAGTGCTAAGCTAACGGAATGGGTCAAGTCAATCACATCATTCTCTAATGATGTGATCCTGTTAATCAAATGACAACTCATGTCTATGGGTAGGAAACTTAACCATCTTTGATTCAACGAGCTAGTCAAGTAGAGGCATACTAGTGACATTATGTTTGTCTATGTATTCACACATGTACTAAGTTTCCGGTTAATACAATTCTAGCATGAATAATAAAAATTTATCATGATATGAGGAAATAAATAATAACTTTATTATTGCCTCTAGGGCATATTTCCTTCAGTCTCCCACTTGCACTAGAGTCGATAATCTAGTTCATATCACCATGTGATTTAACACCAATATCCACATCTGTATGTGGTTAACACCCATAGTTCACATCGTCATGTGACCAACACCCGAAGGGTTTACTAGAGTCAATAATCTAGTTCATATCGCTATGTGATTAACACCCAAAGAGTACTAAGGTATGATCATGTTTTGCTCGTGAGAGAAGTTTAGTCAACGGGTCTGTCACATACAGAGCCGTATGTATTTTGCAAATATTTTATGTCTACAATGCTCTGCACGGAGCTACTCTAGCTAATTGCTCCCAATTTCAATATGTATCTAGATCGAGACTTAGAGTCATCCAGATCGGTGTCAAAGTTTGCATCGACGTAAATCTTTACGACAAACTCTTTATCACCTCCATAACCGAGAAATATTTCCTTAGTCTTCACTAAGGATAATTTTGACCGCTGTCGATTGATCTACCCTTAGATCACTATTGTACTCCCTTGCCAAACTCACTGTAGGGTATACAATAGATCTGGTACACATCATGGCATACTTTATAGAACCTATGACTGGGGCATAGGG